TGAAACTTTTTCTTACTTTTGACAAACCTCCCCAAATGAAATTCTAGTGAAATCTTTTTGACTATCTTACTATGACATTTTTTTCCAGAGGGCCCCTAGAACAGTATCTCTTTGTTTTCTCCCCTTATAAAAAAGAGGAATGTTAAGCTAATTAGACTTATTTAATTTGTTGGACTGTATGGGAAACACTGCCAAGTAAGAAGCAATATTAAACCTTAGTTTTTATTTATGTGTGTATGGGTATTCTTAATATGTGTTCTAAAACTACATGAATCTTTCATATATTCCTATATCATTTAAATATCATATAGGTTTTCTTCTATTATAGAAATGCCAAGTCTCCAAATTACTTAGGAAATTATGCAAAGAATAAAGTATATTTACAAAGCTTAAAATAAAACCCCACTGCCATCTAAAACAACTGACCTCACACACAGCTACTGACCTTCACTGAAGTGGAAACCTCCCCTTAAATGTCATTCTTATTATTGTTTCAAATGGTCTGCAATCTAATTAAACGCCAATCTACTTTTTCACAGTTTATAACATTTGACATTTACTCTAAGTTTCTAGATATCATTTCCTAAAATCAAATAGTTACTGTTGAGAAATGCCCTAAAAACTTACCTTTTGAAAGGAATATGTATCATCTTAGCTGCCTATAATTTTGATATCATAAAAGTTTATAAGCCTATAAAATATAAAAGTACCACAACTCCCTTATAAACTAGTATTTTATTTCCTCTTAACATACAGAAGGCAAGGAAAATTCTCATTCAAACTTGCTGTATTTGTAGTGACCTTTCTTCTAAAGGTCACATTTCAAAACTATACAAACAAATTTACTAGTATATCACCATTAAAAAAATCAATTTGGGGCCTCCCTGGTGGCAAAAGGGGTAGAGCGCCGCACTATGAAGCAGTCTGCAGCCTCTGCAGCACAAGTTCGATCCCTGGCTGGCCAGGGAACAACCCACATGGTGCAGCAGACCTCTCTTGAGTCACCCGTTGCTCCCCTCAGCAGTGTATTTCAGTCAGTCTGCCTGTCCTGTTCCCCGCTCTGTCTCTGGTGAATCCTCTCACCCCCGCCATTTCTGGCCTTTACTCCAGCTCTTATATGCAAAAATAAATAAATCTTTAAAAAAAATCAATTTGTTTAGTTTAATCATAAGACATTATGATATATGCAGCTATATGTGTGTTTTGAACAAAAATTTCTACGTAACAAATTTAATTATAACTTTACAACTGCTGTCTAAACAAATAAAATTTCTTTAATGAAAAAATATCTAAAACACATTGATCTCATTTTCAGATGAGCCCCTAGGAAGTGGATATTCACATGACACATACTAAAATACACACCAGAAGAAGTAAACCTTAGTGCTTATAACTCATATGTGAGAATCCAATGCTAACTCCCTGTTACATCGAAATTAAACTACTAAATCATCTAAATATTTTCCAGCAGCTGAATATTTGTATCCTCCTGACTCATATGATAAAACCAAATGCCCAGGTAAGACCTTTAGGGTGAACAGATTATAAAGGCAAATGCATGAAGTGGATCTTTGCAAGAGAGGCTTGATAAAGTCCTCTTGTATCCTCACCCCTCGGAGATTACAGAGAAAAAGATAGCCATTTCTGAGCCAGATGGTGGCTAGATCTTGAACTTCCCAGTCTTCAATTCTGTGAGAAATAAATTGCTGTTGCTTACAGGCCACCCTGTTTGTGGTATTTTGTTAGACCGTTCTGCGTGACTAAGAGACTGTCCATTAAAAATACAGAAGTTAAATAAGCTGTAATGTAAAAAATATATTAGGTATGTATTAAAATGTAGATCCCTATGTCACATTATAAAATGAGTAAATAAATCAAACCTGTATGTATAGCACATTCCCATTTTTCTTAAATAAAAAAAGACAGATGCTTTGTGTTAAGATACAGGTCAGAAGCAGAAATTTTGAAGCTTTCCTGAGAATCAAATCTGATTTTGAATACCAGTTTCAATACTTTATACTTGGCATTCCATTTTTTTTTAAAGATTTTATTTATTTATACATACAGGAACTGGGGAAGAGGCCATAGTTGTGGGGGGTGAGAGGATTCACCAGAGACAGAGAGGGGAACAGAACAGGCAGAGCAACTGAAATACACTGCTGAGGGGAGCAGTGGGTGAGACAGGAGAGGTCTGCTGCGCCATGTGGGTTAGCTCCCTGGCCGGGGATTGAACTCGTGCTACAGTGGCTGTGGCTAGCTTCATAGGTTGTGTCTTAACCCCTTGCACCACCAGGGAGGCCCTTTGGCATCCTATTTTTACCAGTCTATATTGGACATGTTATTAGCCTTTCTCAATCTCAACTTCTACCTTTTGTATTGGCAGATATTAACACTCATTTTACAGGACTGTTGTGAAGTAAATGAGGTAATACATGAAATGGATAATCACAATAAAAGCCATTAAAAATGCTTACAAGATATTCTTATAGTTTTACCCTAACCTTAAAAAAAGAATTCTCTAGTGCTATTTAAGAGTCATAAAAAAGATTTTGCGATTTGTCCCTACAGAGGTTTAGGTTTGTATGACATATAACTCCAGTGATTAAGAACAGAAAAACTTTAGAAAATATACATGTAATGATAAAATAATTTTAGACTATAAGCATATCTATGTACTATATAATGTATAATTTTTTACTCTACTGTATTTCAGAACATTACAATGATGAAGTAGAAAAGAAACAATATAGCTTTCACAGGCATACAGAATATATACAAATATACAGTGAGTTCAGATGACTGTGAGGATGGTGCACAGAATAGAATCAACTTGAGAAATCCTTTTCTGAGTCTTTTTCCTGATGTGAAAAAAGATATAATTAAGTATACTAAAATGTTCTGGTAACCAAGAAACTTCCAGAACTAATCTTTTGGGAAATAAATTTAGGATTCTGGAAAGCTGTTCGATCTACATTTCAGATTTTATATTTTCATGTTACACTTTTCAAAAACATGCTTGTCTTTAGTTCCTTTAGTTCGTTACTTTAGCATTTCATTGATAATTTGATTTCTGTCACATTTCAACCCTGTGGATTTGAGATTTAAGTTTTTCCTTTATAGGAAGAATCCACCATTTATGTAGACATAGCTATCAAACCAAATTTTAAATCAATATTTGTATTTACAGATGAAGTTTATTTTAATTAAAAATCTGCTTCAAGTCTTTCTTCCACTAAAATATGATAAATTTAACAGATCAAAGAACAAAATATGATAAATTTAAAACAGGCGTGGCATAAACAGCATTAACAGTCAAAATATAAGAGAAGTGCAATAAAATGTTACGTACATCATTAATCAATAATATATTTCGAAAGTAAACCACAATACACTTTGTTATTTAATGTTCATGTGCCCTTTACACAAAATGAAAATTGAAAATTAAAATTACTTTTGAAGAAATTCACTTAAAATTTTAAAACTTTAAAATCAACGACTTACTGTTGTTTTTTAAATTACAAAGTTTTTTTTTTTCTTTTTTTGGTGTTCTTAATATTCTCTCTATTCCAATTATGTTTAATGAGGCAAAGCGGGTTTACATCAATTACTTCTGTTAGCCTTTAACATTGTAGGTTTGGATGGTGTGAGAAATTTAGTCACAGGCTATTTGACAAACAGTACCAATTCAATCACAAGGTGGCTGATGAATTTTAAATTTGTAAAAGCCTTTTGTCATATTGAAGGCAATAGGTCTAACATTATCTCTGTGGCTTCTATGTTGACTCTTCCTTTAATGTGGACCATCTCCTAAAATTTTTTCCCTGCCATTTTTAGTAATTGCATTAAATTCGATGGATATAATAGAGAATTTCACTTGCAGCAATAAACCATGTTTTTAAGAGCAATTAAAATTATAATAAAAGTTTCAAGAAAATGTATAAGAGAAAAATTAGTCATGTGATTACCTACAGGGCTTTCAAGGTCTCTGTAAGGGTAGTTTTCAATAAACAAAGTTTAAAAAAAGATATTAAATTATTTGTTAAGGCTGCAAAAACAGTTGAATGGAAAATAGTACCATATTAACATGCAGACAAAATTAGAGTGAAAGTAGGAAACCTCATGATCTGACTATTAACCACCAACGATCATTTTACACAAATTCCTTTAGTTCGATTTGCTACCACATTACCCTAAAAATTATTCCAGAACAAACTCAAACTCCCAGAATATAGGCACAACTAGATTACTTCATTCTATGATATTTCAACTGGGAGCAATCAGAAAGGGTAAAATGAATTTTTGGTCGGCTATATCTATAGAGAGTAGACAGATTTTTGGGTATATTTTCTAAAATTAGCATACAAATCACAGTTAAAATTATACTAAAACCTTACTCTCTGGATTTCAGTTAGCTTACATATATTTTGGTAAATATGTATGTTTAACTTTAGAACATATATGTAAAGAATTAGATTATGATTGAGATATGTAGCTGTTAAACATATGAAAGTTCCAAATAGAATAATTTTAGGATTTACCTTTCATGTTTTAGTGTTGGAGTCTTTTGAAAGTAAATCAACAGGGTATTACAATTTTAAGCACTTCACTTCCTCCAATTACTTTCTAACAGTTCAAGTCTTTCATAATAGATAACAGTGAATGAATGAAACCTGGATTAAGTGGTAACAAGAAGGGAAATCTGATCAATCTGAAATAATTATTTTTCAGTATATATAATTAGCCCATAAAGTGATATATGTATTTTTTTACATAAACCTTAAAAATCCTGCCTGCCTGCATTCTGAAAGTATTAAAATGGTAGGAAGGTCATTTTTTAAAAGATGTAACAGTTTTTCTGCTTTAAATTCATCAGAAAGATTCAATTTTACTAAAGTAAAAATGCCAATAAATTACTATTTAGTCAATTCAATATTTAGAGAGTCAGGTATTGCAGTTTTAAACAAAATTATAAAAGTTTACAGATAAGAAATACCACTTACAAGCTGTTCTGATTTTACACCATATAACTGGATGGTCTTTGCCACATTTTTTGACACTGCTAATGTGAGGTTTGCATCAACAGCAGCTACGTTTAGTTCACTGGAGAAAACAAAAACAGACTAATTATTAGCAACATAGTTCATCAACAAAGTAAAGAGCAACATATAAATCTAAACCAAATAAGCAATGTGATGATTCTTTTTATAGATTTCACTGATTGCTTCCAAGAATTGGTGGCACTGCTTCATTTTCCCTTCTAAATTCAGCATTAGGAAAAAGTGATTTGAGATGGCTTGGTTAATGACCAGTTTCTCATTAATAAAAGCACATCATGTGTGGGTTCAGGCTGTGATTAAGAGAGTAAATTGTGTACAGATTTTTAAAGTAGGATTCTTGTTAATACTGATAAGTGCAATTAGAGTGTGCATATCACAGACATCTGCAAGGAAATGACAGTTCTTGAATGGAAATGATGACCTTGAAAGGATATAGGCTAAAAATATAAACTACACATGATACATAAAGATACTCAGTTTCTGTAGAAATTATGCCAATTCAAGCTGTTTTGTATAGCATAGCTTTTTAAACATATCAAAAGCATAACAAAATATAATTTGAAATTTTAAAAGAAATGAATACAGCATTTCTTTGTCATGCTGATTTCAACTTAACATGGGATTAATTGGGACAGTTGAGATGACTGACCAAAAAAAAAAAAATGTTTAAAAGAGGGAAGGAAGTACAATGGACTATGGTGGGAGAGCATGGGTGTGGTGATGGGTTCACTACAGTGGTGATACCTGATTGGGAGGGGATCCTTATGTAATTGCAATTAAAAATATAAATAAATTTATAATAATAAAACAAAGAAAAAAGTTAGCTACTACTAAAAAAGTGTTTAGAAAGACCATGGAAAGAATACTAGCAATTAAAAATTACATGAAAATCCATACCTAGCAGGGGAAGCAAGAAAAGTAATTACTGTCTCTGAAATAGAATAAATGTTGGCATTAATCAAATCTCTTTATGAAGAATGATAAGGAGTTTGAAGCAAAACTAGTACATACTGTGTTTGATAAAAATGCCATTTAATGTAAGAGTGAGACATAATTTTATTAATGAACACTTTTTTTTTCATTGCCCCCTTTTAGGTTCTATTAAACACTGGTGTAAGTATGTTTTTTTTTTTTTTTTTTTTTTTTTTTTTAAAGATTTATTTATTTATTTATACAAGCACTGGGTACAGTCAGAAGCGCGGGAGGGTGAGAGAATTCACCAGAGCCAGAGCGGGGAGCAGAACAGGCAGAAGGACTGAAGTACACTGCTGAGGGGAGCAGCGGGCGGCAGGAGAGGTCTGCGCGCCATGTGGGACCCTCCTCCAGTGGCCGGGGAGCAGCCGGGGATCGAACTGGCGCTGCAGAGGCTGCGGGCAGCTTTGCAACCCAGCGCTCAACCGCTGCGCCACCGGGGAGGCCCTGTAAGTATGTTTTTTCAAGCTCCAGATTATATATGATAGTAACATTGTCAAGCTGCATAGAAGAATGGGAGATGTCTCTTTAACATTTCCATAAACAGGTCAAAGAGAAAAACTGAATCCAGGATTGTTTTTGTCACTGTTATGCTAAACAGATAACAGAGACATTAGGATAAAAAAGACAACAGTCAGGTCTTTGGAAAGTCAAGATAACTATGGAGAAATTTAGGAACAAGATGTTAGAATTTAGACAGTTTTTTCTCCGTATTCTTTCCATGTTTTCAATTATTATGCCGATTTTCATGTATCAGTCGAACTATTGGGCCTTATGTTTTTCCTTTGACAATGACTATTACATATTTATAACCAGTATTTCCATCTGCTTTCTTACTCCTATAACTATAAAGATGTGCTTCTGTATATTCTACCTGTTTTGTTTTAATTTACTCTCACATCCCCAGAAGCACCACCCTCAAATTTGCATTCTAAAAGGATCTACAGAGTTCTATATCTTGGTCCTATACTATCATCTTTTTTTTTTAATTAATTTATTTATTTATACAAGCATTGGGTACAGTCAGAAGCGCGGGAGGGTGAGAGAATCCACCAGAGCCAGAGCAGGGAACAGAACAGGCAGACTGATGAAGTACAGTGCTGAGGGGAGCAGCAGGTGTGGCAGGAGAGGTCCGCTGGCCATGTGGGACCCTCGCCCGGAGGCCAGGGATCACACTGGCGCAGTAGAGGCTGTGGGCAGCTTCGCAGCCCAGCATTCAACCTCTGCGCCACCGGGGAGGCCCATGTCCTATACTATCATTTTTACTCTACAAAATATCCATCTGCAAATGTATAGGACCTACGGTAATGACAACTTGTTAAGTATGACAGAAACTGAGATAGTCTCACTAGTATTGAAAAAATTAGTCTCATAACCGTTAACCTGAAAATGTCTTAAGGCAGTAGTGTAATTACATTGTCTGCAAGCATTCAGGTGGTACCTCTACTATGATATCTTCCCATTTGAGAGTTTAAAAGCTGTCACATTCCCTTGGAAAGCTTAAAATAGCAAATACAAGTAAGTAATCAGGATTATAATCCTGTGTGTGCTGAGAAGTACTTTTGGGGTTTAAGATACAAAAACATTAACTTCTATGCTTTATCGTCTCAATTTATAAAGTTATTACCATACTTACTTTCCTGCATAATATCAAAAATTTACTATGCATAAATAATTAGATTTACCTTGCATCCCTGACAAGAATAATTAAATAGACCATTTTCAGACTGTATTTAAATGATTTTATTAACTGGGATTCCAGGTACTTAATATGTGTACTCATTCAAAACTCTGGTTTAATTGCAGAATTAATTACCTGAATAAATTGAGATAAATTAAAAATGTACTACTATCATACATCACTCTCAAATGAGGCAAGTGTTTTATGGCATGCCCTTATATAAAAATCACATACCTTGCTATAGTTTTAATGATACCTTCAAGTTCATCTGCAGATGGAGGATTACGACCACCAGGGGGGAAAACCAAGTTGATAGGATCAAAGAGTCGAGATAAGGATTTTGATAAATAGGCAGCTTCAAAGGGTTGCAGTGAGTCTTTCAAAGCCTTTTCTGGACTGTGGAAACAAAATTTATTAAAAATGAACTTAAATTATACCACACTAAATGCTATTATACCAGGCTGCAAATACCTTTCTTAAAAACAATTCCTATATAAATGTAACTTTATATGAACAAAAAAAATGTTTAAAAATATATTTAAAATACATTTCACAATTAAATGTTTATTAAGAACTATATCAACATTTTAATTTATATATAAGTCCCAGGTATATAATATCAGTACCTTTTGTAGTAAACCTGTCACTTAAGGGTCTCCCCGGTGGCGCAGCGGTTGAGCGCTGGGTTGCGAAGCTGCCTGCAGCCTCTGCAGTGCCAGTTCGATCCGCAGCTGCTCCCCAGCCACCAGAGGAGGGTCCCACAGGGCGTGCAGACCTCTCCTGCTGCCCGCTGCTCCCCTCAGCAGTGTACTTCGGTCCTTCTGCCTGCTCTGCTCCCCGCTCTGGCTCTGGTGAATTCTCTCACCCTCCCGCGCTTCTGACTGTACCCAGTGCATGTATAAATAAATAAATAAATAAATAAATAAATAAATAAATAAATAAATCTTAAAAAAGAAAAAGTAAACCCGTCACTTAAAATTATAAGAATAATACTGCAAAATCTTCATTTTAACAAGGCTATGCATTCACTTAGCAAATTCTGTTTTTATATAATATCAAAGCATTAACAAAAGAACAAATCTGTAGAGACCTGCTCCACTAACTAAACCCTTTTCACCCACAGTTGCCATTTCCCATACAGCTTACTATCTTCAAGGGATGTATATATAGCCAAACTTTTATTAATTTCTCATGCCAAAACTTTTATTTGCAAGATATAAAAAGTATTTGTAAAACTCCTACAGTCACATAATACTCCCAACCAGTATTCTAAGCTAATTTGTTTTTACAATATTCTTTATCAATTATAATGTAGCCTACTAAATACTTCTTTCTTCTTAATTCTTTGCATGTCTCAATTATTTATGCTGATTTTCATTTGTCAGTTCAACTATTGGCTCTTATATTTTTCTTTGACATTTACCAATAAATGACAATAACCATTATTTCCATCTGCTTTCTTACTCCTGTAATTTCTCCATATCTTTGTATACCACCCATTTAAGACTTACAAAAAAAAAAAAAAGGATTCTTCTAGTATCCCTTCTGCATTGTTTTCTTTTTCCAAACAAATCCCCTTGCATCATAAAATGTTAACCTTGAAAACATCTGACCTGTGTCTTTATCTATATAAAACCTGCTTTCTCCTTTTCCCAGCTTTCTGGTCAACTTACATGCTCCAGAAGTGAGACTGCTCTTGGCTCCTTTATCATAATTCCAAATTTATCTGAATACTTTCTCATTCAATAAGTAGGTCATTCAATATAGATTAACTGAGAATACTATGTACCAAGCTCTAGTTAAGTACTAGTAAGATACAGATTTAAAGTGCTATACAATCGGGGGCGGCGGCGGGGGAGCGGGCCGTGTGCTGCGGGCCCCGGCGGGTGGAGGTGTGAAGGCGACCGAGGACCTGAGGGGGAGTCGGGCCGGTGGGGCCGCCGCCGCCGCCATGCAGGAAATCATCGCTAGCGTGGACCACATCAAGTTCGACTTGGAGATCGCGGTGGAGCAGCAGCTCGGGGCGCAGCCGCTGCCCTTCCCCGGCATGGACAAGTCGGGGGCTGCTGTCTGTGAATTCTTCTTGAAGGCCGCCTGTGGCAAAGGGGGCATGTGCCCATTTCGCCACATCAGCGGTGAGAAGACAGTTGTATGCAAACACTGGCTGCGGGGGCTGTGCAAGAAGGGGGACCAGTGTGAGTTCCTGCATGAGTACGACATGACCAAGATGCCCGAGTGCTACTTCTATTCCAAATTTGGGGAGTGCAGTAACAAGGAGTGCCCCTTCCTGCACATTGACCCTGAGTCCAAGATCAAGGACTGCCCTTGGTACGACCGCGGCTTCTGCAAGCATGGTCCCCTGTGCAGGCACCGGCACACACGGAGAGTCATTTGTGTGAATTACCTCGTGGGATTCTGTCCAGAGGGGCCTTCGTGTAAATTCATGCACCCTCGATTTGAACTGCCCATGGGAACCACCGAGCAGCCCCCACTGCCACAGCAGACGCAGCCTCCGACAAAGAGAGCCCCGCAGGTCATCGGGGTCATGCAGAGTCAAAACAGCAGTGCAGGCAACCGGGGACCCAGGCCGCTGGAGCAGGTCACCTGTTACAAGTGTGGTGAAAAAGGACACTATGCCAACAGATGCACCAAAGGGCACTTGGCCTTTCTCAGTGGACAGTGACAGCAGCTGGAGCCAACTCAGAGCAGCCTGAGAGGCCCATTGTTGGGGACAACTCTGGGCCGTCCTCAGGAGCATGTGTTGAACTGTTCAGCACCAGTATTGGTGCGACCCTGGCTAGAGCTGGCAGGCAGGCACACTGGGGTTTATCATTCGAGGGGCTATTTCTGTCAGTTTCCCTACCATTTTGCTGTAATTTTTTTTTTTTTTAAGGGACATGTGCTCTAGTTTGGTCCCTCAAGTCGGCATCATGTTTGTCGAGACATCAAGCCTCCTGTCTGGGACTCCCCACACCTCTGCCCTCTGGGGAGGAGAAGTTTTGGGGCAGGGGCTTGCGCTCAGCAGTTCTGTAAGGAAGATGGTCCTTCCCCTCAGGGCTTCATTAAACACCAGTTCTTGGTGATCCCAGGGGCTGGTGGATCATTTAAAGCTGCAGCCAGCTCAGGCTCACTTCCTCCATGTCCTGCTGAATTCAGAAGCTGTGCCTATCAATGTGATTTGAACGAGGTAGCCCTCAGGGCAAACTCAAGTGCGCTTGTTGTCTCAGCCTGGTCCTGCTCTCTCCAAGGTGGCAGTAGTTGAGAAGAGGTGTGCAGTATTCTCGAGTGAAGGGTCTTTTCTTCTGGGTTATGTTCTTGAGGCACCTGCTTAACATTGTTCAAGGTATGCCTTAAGCTGGAGCTGCAGGCCACCCTTTAAATCGTGACCCAGTCCTTCTGTGCACCTACCTCCTGCCCCAGCAAGAGTCTGTACTGTAACTCAGACACCTTTGGCCTATGGAGACCACCCTGCCTATGCCTGGAAATGTGAAGCCGTCACCTGCAACCACTGGGCAAGTGGCCTGTTCAAGTTCAATTACAAGAACAATTTTTATGAAGTTGATTAAAGCTTGTTTTTTTAAAAAAAAAAAAAAAAAAAAATAAAGTGCTATACAATCTAGTGAAGGAATATGCAGGCAAAATGCTATAATAACTTCTACAATAGATGAAAACTGAGAGAGCACAATTGAGACAGGGAAACAACGTACCTAAATTTGTATGAGGCAATAATCTATTGAAGCCCATGTCAACTACTTAAATATCTTCTCGATTTTTGTTCCTGTCATTTTCTAACATAAAGAAATTTCAGGACTGAATTGTAAGTGCTTTCTTCCTATTCTCCAAATCTGCTGCAAGGGTCCTTGGTGACTATAAATGTAAAAACACTTAACTTTTCTAAAACCTGTCCTCTAGTATAAGTTTACCTTTATTAGCTTTACAATTGAGCTTCCATATTTGTCACCATTCTAAAATGGCTATACCTCTAAGATCTCCATGCCTAAAACAACTTCATACACTCTCCACCTTTTCCCCAGTCTCCTCCTCCCCCAGAAATATTAAGTGTCTACAGTATGCCAGGTACTTTCTAGGTATAGAAAACACAGCAGTCGAGCTGGTTTAAAATAATTCCCTGCAGAACTTGGTCAAATTTATGTTTTATTCTCTGCTTTCTTTCCCAAAAGAATATTTAAAATTCACTGCATTTGTTTTACTACCCTCATGATTTTTTGCTTTCTTCGAATATGGGTTATAACTCCTCTTCCCCACCAATTGCTCTACTAAACTTAGTCTCCAAAGCACATTGGTTTTTTTTTTTTAACTCTGATTTTTTTCCTCTCCATTGAATTTGCTGCCCTCTCCCCCTACAAGGAACATATACTCATTTTAAATAAAAGCAGAAAATATAAAATAAAAATTCTACCTCCTGGAGATAAAATCACTGTTATCATTTGCTATATATTTTTCTAGATCTTTAAAGAGTGCATGCATATGGATTTAAACATAAAACTAAGTCAGAAATAAAATAATATATGTGCTATTTTAAATTAACTTTAAAAAATTAATATATTATCATTGAATAGATCAAGAGATATGGGTAAAATTCCTGTCTTCTCTTGTATCAGTGCTTATCTAACTTCCTTGTTTAGAATAGAATCATTCCTCTTACTATACTTCTTACCACAATGGATACAATTCCTATAAGAATTTAGGAAAAATATTTGAAAGAGAAACATTTAAATAGCATCGATGAATCTTTCCAACATTTTTCTTACAAGTCAAATAATAAAAATTAGGTACTACCCGAGTCTGTCTCATCACAATAAATATGATTATAGTGTTATAGAGGGAATGTATGTGAGCCAGTCAATTGCCTGGTGCTCAGATAAAAACCTGAAAATAATACTTTTCAATTTGGGAGGAAAAGCTAGCTGGTTTGACCTTGTTAAAATGGTAGACTGTTTTCCAATGTGACTTCTGAATATGGTTATATGAACTATACTTTCTGGGTAATTTTGACTATACTGTTTTTTCCTCACAGAGAACCAATCTCAGCATAGGTTTATTTCTCCTGTAGTTCTTAAACACACTACTTCTTTTACATTACATTTATATCAGTGTTCCATCAATGATGATACTATCAAATGTAATTATAGACATATTATAATTACAATTAAAAGATGACAACATATGATCATCTCTCCTAGCTCTGCTCACCCTATTTTGTTATAGTTTAAAACAGATTCTAATAGGAATCATGCTGCTTAACTAAAGATGAAATTTGACTTCTTCAGTTAAAAATGCTGCCAAGTCTTTTAAGGTATGCAAATAAATAAAAAGTATTACCAATACTTAAAAGATTAGCATATTCTCAATTTCAAATTTATAGTAAAAACAAAAGACAAACTCTTTAACATGCCAACAAACAGGTCTGATTAAACAAACATACTCATAATCTGGTCTTTTAGGTAAGAATATGTCCTGTGTATCATCTTCTATGTGTTGTAGGTCAACATAGAGATCTGTAGTTCCACTTGCATTAAATTTTCCTTGAATATTTTGGCTGTATTGTTGAAGACGCTTCCATAAATCATTATAAAGACGCAATAATTTAGGGTATTCTCCTTCAAATGCCTGTTTTAAAAACACAGAAGCTGCCAAGTAAAAAATTGACATGAATTAGATAAATGATAAACAATAAAATGTAGCAAATAAATATTGACTTTGCATATGAAGATGATGCTACATACAGCCTGGACAAACCAAAGATGGGTTCCAATGAGGAGCTTTATAATAATGCTAGTAACATTAATTTTTAAAAATTCAAGCCTGGCCCACGCAGGGTACCTCTACTAAGAAGAGAGAAAATATCAAAGTTCTTTAATGGTGCATGGGACTGGAATAAAAAGTTGGAAACTTAAGGAATCTTGAATTAGGTTTCCCATGGAAGATTTACTAAGTTATGGAGATATAAGAGAAGCTGGGGTACTATCTAAAGCTTCAAAAAGTAGCTTAATGTTTGTGGAAATATATGTGAGGAAACCAAAGACCAACTGAGGAAAGAGAACACAACATAAACATAGGCAGATCTTTCTTTTCATGAAGACATCCACCAGATTCTGAAGTTACATGAGGTGGAAGTTAATAAGCAAATCTTAGGTGGCAGAGCTAGATTAACCTCAATATTTCAGGGCTGAGGAGAGAAAGACTTTCCAACTTCTCAGTTAAAAGCAAAAACAGACAATTATAAATCAGAGACAAACTGCAGGGGAGGAGGGGGGAGAGGGATCAGAGGGAGGGCAGGAGGAGCACAGGGGACTAAGGTGATGGTGCACAGGTGCACTGGTGAAGGAAACTCTATAGGGGACCACACCAGAAGGGGTGGGGGGAAGCAAATATTGTTTAAAAATGAATGATGATGTAAAACAATTAATTTAAAAAAAGTGTGGGAGATGCATGTCCCCAAAACAGAGAGAATTAAAGATAGACTGAATTCTTACTATTATAGCAAGTGTCCCAATCCAACTCAATTCTAGAGTCAACTGAAATGACCAACCTACATAAAACTGGAGTGCCAGAGGAAAAGATAGAGTCCAACAAAATACTTCAGAATAAGTAAGTAAATCTTATGAATCAGTAACATAGACAACTCCATAGAAAATGTAATAATTTATAAAGAAGCATCTCTGAACAGTTAATAAACAAATAGAAAAATGAATAGTATCATTAACCATAAAGGAAATATTAAAACCAAATATGACAAAATTATATACCCCCCAGAATACCTAAAACAAGTAACAGAAAATACCAAGTATTAAAAAGGATATAGAAAAACTAGAGCTGTTATATAGTGTCAATGGGTGTTTAAAATTTTTTAAAACATTGGAAACCTCTTTGACAGCATCTACTAAAGCTGAATATATGAATATGAATACTTTATGATGTGCTGTATTAGTATCCTATAGCTGCTGTAACAAATTACCACAAATTTGGTGGCTTAAAATAACACAGCTGTATTATCATGCAGGTCTAGACATCAGAAGTATAAATTTGTCACACTAAGTCAAAACCAAAGTGTCAACAAAGCTGTGTTCCTTCTTTAGATTAATGGGCAATTTTCCCTTGATCATTCCACCTGCCTCCATTCCTCACCTTGCGGTCCCTCTTCCAGCAACTGTATCACTCTGACCTATCACTCTGACCTGGGCTTCCATAATCACATCTCTTCCTTTGACTCTCCCCACTCCTCCTCATACTTTAAAAAACCTCAGTGACTATACTGGGCCCAGCAGGATGATCCAGGATACACCTTCTACCTCAAGATCCTTAAATTACATCTGCAAGATCCCTTTTGCCATATAACCACTGCAAATCTTTGGGAGGGTTCTCTGTCAACACACCTGTTTTCCATCCCTAGGTTTGTTTCCGATAAGAGAGGACAGAATTATCACAGCAGCATTATTTAAAAATAGCTCAAAATGGGAAACCACCCAAATGTCCATCAATAATACAGTAGATAAATATAATTTATCAATGATAATGACCTACAATTGCACACAACAACATGGAAGATTCATAAACATGTTGAGCAAGAGAGGTTAGAGAGCAAATACAAGAGGGTTACATAGACATGTTAAGGTATGAAAAATTAATTTAGGCATATAATATTCATACTGTTTGAGTATTATACTTTAATAAATTATTCTTGAGTGATAAGAAATCAATGAAGTATTTTTAATGTGTCTAATTTTTATTTTAGTTTTTCCTGTTTTATTTTAGTTTTTCCTGATATAACTAATATATAACATTGTACAAGTCCAATGTAGATATGAGATATATGTGTGTATGAATGAAGGATTTTAACGAAAAAATGGTATAATCAAATTTGTCCTGCCAAAGTAAGAATCCAAAAACTTACACTTGATAGATAACTTTCTCCCAGGTTTTAATAAACTTTTAGTATTTTCTGAAGACTCCTCTTTAGTCTACAAAAGTTGTATTTCCTTGCAATGAATATGCAATGGAGCTATGAAAGTTTGTTCAATAAATGGTGCTGGGAAAACTGGGTTGTTATATGCAAAAGAAAGAAGCTTGACTATTACCTCACACCATGCACAAAAACCAACTGGATTAAAGAACCAGACATAAGACCCAAAACCATAAAATATACAGAAGGAAATATAGGTGGAATACTACATGACAAACACCTCAGCAACATCTTTAAAGACTCATCACCCAAAGCAGTGATAGTGAAGGCAAAGATAAACAGCTGGAACTACATCAAATTAAAGAGCTTCTGTACAGCAAAAGAGACAGTAACCAAAACAAAGAGACACCCCACCAACTGGGAGAACATTTTTGCACACAACACTAATGATAAAGGACTGATCACAAAAATCTACAAAGAGCTGATGAGACTCAACAAAAACAAAGTTAATAATCCAGTCCAAAAAAATGGGCAGAAGAGCTAAAAAGGAACTTCAAAGAGGAAATGCAAATGGCCAACAGGCATATGAAAAAATGTTCAACATCACTTGCAATCAGGGAAATGCAAATCAAAACTACAATGAGATACCATCTTACACCAGTGAGAATGCCTTCAAGGCAACAAGCTATATTGAAGCCCTAGGTATGCAAGGCTTTAGTCAATGAGAATACTGCTAAACCAAGAGTATTCTATGTCTTATGGGTTGGGGAGATCCAATCACAATAAATATCACAGTGTATTAGAAAATGATTAAGAACTGGGCCTCCCTGGTGGTGCAAGGGGTTAAGACGCAACCTATGAAGCTGTCCGCAGCCACTGCAGCACGAGTTCGATCCCCAGCCAGGGAGATACTCACGTGGCACATCAGGCCTCTCCTGTCTCACCTGCTGCTCCCCTCAGCAGCGTATTTCACTAGATCTGCCTGTTCTGTTCCCTACTCTGTCTCTGGTGAATTCTCTCACCCCCCACACCTCTGGCCTGGACCCCAGTTCTTGTATGCATAAATAAATAAATCTTTTTTAAAAAAGAAAATGATTAAGAACTGAAGAAAAATATAGCAAGTAAGAGGGATGAGACATTCAAGGAAAATCATCAGACTACAAAAAACTGTTTTCATTTCGAAAGAGTAATGTTCACTTTGCTTTTTCTTAAACCAAAAAATACATATTATAATCCAATAAGCTGGTGAATAATCATTATTATGTGGAAACTACAATAAAAAACAACAGACAAAAAGCTTAGAAATCACCTTAGAAATAGCCATTGCCCACAGAAAATTAAAGCAGCAGACTTTCTACCGAAGCCTCTTTGAATCTTCATGGAAACAAGTTCAGGCCCCTTTTCTTTTGAATTAAGTAAATTCATTGTTTGTCAAACTCCTAGAGTATATCTTGTTATATCTAGAACTTCTTTTTACTAAGCATGAACATTTATAATCAGAAAACATGTTCTGAAAGTAGGAAATTTTCCCTTTAGAAATTTTCTGCCAAAATATTACTTACTTAGACAATCTGTTAATCTTTAATTCTGCAGATGGTTGCATTTCCTTAATATTGCCTGTCTATAATTTCAAGAAGCACTACAGTACACTTCAGGGACTATATGTGCTATACAAATGTAAGAAAGGTGCTTTACAAACAACTTACTTTGGAGTTTTCCTAAAGGAAGTTATTAAAGTCATAATGTTATTAGATGTAACAAGCTACTCCGAACATGAAATATTAATGGGATTTCCTGCCTAAAAATATTAAATTCCATCTCAGTAGCTTCTTTGACTACACAAGTCAAATAGGCACCTATAAAAGCTGAAAAACATATACTAGATTGAGTACTTAAGAGATATGTTACTGCATAGTGAATGGAAACAATTTGAATAGAAATTTTCAGAGTCTGGGGGCAAAACACAAAAAGATACCAGAAATCAAAAATATGAAAATGAAGACAAAAAATGCAAACTACTCTTTGAGAGGGAAAATTAAATAGCAACCAAAGAAGAACTCTGTAGTTTTATTTCAGGTTTTTTTATTAGATGCCAGTAACTTGGTTTATGAAGGGAAGAAATTAAAAAAAAAAAGGAGAAATGCAAGGAAAAAACAACAAAAAAACCTCGGAAAGTGTGAACAAAATTGCTCAGAGGATATGGTAAACAAAGCAGGCTCTAATACCAGTAAAAGAGTAGTTTTGAAGAGGAGGAAAGTTACCCTACCCTCAGGCTCAAAGGGAAAAAAAGTGGCTTTTCAATGGAGGAAAGGCAAAGGATAATGACATTAATTATCTTGATGACCCAAAAGACAAGACTGGTTTTGAGAGTGAGCAGAATGGGAAAGAGGACGACATATGGAGAGTCCAAGGGTATGTAGTAGTTAAGGAAAGTAAAAACACAGATGACCAATGACAGCACCCACCTCTAATATTTTAAAATATACTTCTAATCATTGTTCTTAAAACTATGTGAGTACTACTATTGATGGTCAAGATGGAATAATAATAGAGACTACAATTACCTTCCTATCTGAAGGAACCAAAAAATACGACAAATATATGAAATAATGCTTTTAAAAACACATAATATCGGGCCTCCCCTGGTGGCGGTTGAGTGCTGGGCTGCGAGGCTGCCCGCAGCCTCTGCAGCACCGGTTTGTTCCCTGGTCTCCGGCGAGGGTCCCACCAAAAAAAAAAAAAAAAAAAAAAAAGTCATGCAAAAAAGGCAATGATCCCCAAGAGTCAGGAAATAGATGAGGTGGGCCCTGTGATTGCCCCGAGTTTACTTCCTTGAAGGAATATCCAGTTCATGGCACAGGAAATGGGAAAGACTCTCAGCCCTACTGCACAAAAACAGTAGGACTACTTTTAGTCCTACTTTCTACCGGGAAGACAGAAGCAACTTTCTCCCTGCCCTGTAACATAATGAGAGTTCACAGGACAGAATACCAGAAAGGAGAGAATTATACAAAGAGAGAACTACAGAGATCTGCAAATAATATACCTGAATAGTAAAACACTAGTCAGTACATGTATGTGAAAAAATTTCCAGAGTCTGGGCGTGAAACACAAAAAGAATTAGAGAGAACATACCCATACTCACACAAGTCTAGAAAGAGTGCCTGTTACCTAAATCCGGGATGAAAAAATCTCATTAATTCAGAGTATCTGGTAAGCTACTAAGTAGAGGGAACTAGCTCAGTAGGAAATAATTAGCCTTAGAGAAAATACTGTTCAGGTTTTGCTAATACATCTTAAAAACAAGACTGAAAAAGACTAAATTATTTCTAAGTAACTTGATAGTACCCAAAAATTAGAATACTTATAAGAAGATAAAAATATTCAACACAGAACAAGGAAAAACTCATGTTTGATATCCAACCAAACATTGATATGCAGAAATATAGAAAAATATTATACATATTGAGAAGAAAATTTAATCACAGGACACAGAATTGACACAGGTAAATATATCAGACAAGGCCATTTTCATTCCAGTCTCACTGCCTAAAGTGACATTCTCTTAATTTCTTAGTGATATGTCAGGGTAAAAGTTTGTCTTACACTAAAGAGTTTACCTTGTATTAAAAGTATGTTAAATTTGCAAATAATAAGCAATATTGGAAGAGGCTATGCCCACAGGTCAGAGATTTTTTTTAAGTATGCTAAATAAGGCCATTTAAAAAATAATGCTGTCAAAGTGAGGTAAGAAATAGTCACAATACAAATTAAATTTACTCATTAAAGAAAGGAAGAAATACTGATAAAGCTATACAATGTGAAAAGCTAAATATTAAATAGAACTTCATGATAATTGTTTTCATGGAAATCAATTATTTTCACACATGGAGAAGGATATAACTGAAAGGCTAAATTTATATTACTACATTTAAGTACAGGAACAATTCAGAAAAAAATCATTAATATTGGAAACATGAAAAATTAACTTATTCTTCTGGAGAGTTTTATTCTAAATGCATATTACAAGTCATATGTAAAAATTAACTTATGAAACTGAATAAACATACACCTAACATTTTCTAGATTTGAAGTCTAGAAAGAAATGACAATTAGGAATTTTAAAAGATATGCTTGTAAACCAATCAAGCAGAAATTCTTGATATTAAGCTTTAAAGTAACTGAAAAATTTGTAATGAATTTGAAAATGAATAGTATACTTACAATTTGTTGCCATGTGAAATTGAGAAGAAAGTGCTTGAGTAACTGAATTCCAAAAAGTATATAAGATTTCAGATTGTCCATCCTGTGAACCCAAAAAAGGGGAGGGGGGTATATTAATTTCTTTAAATAATTATAATGGATAAGATGTAACATTGAAAATTAAAAACATGTTTATATGAAAATTCCTAAGATACCTAACTACCAAACAATGTAATTAGTACATAGAAATACACAGATGATTCAAATCATGTCTTATGCTCAAGTAATTAGTTATCATCCTACTCTGCTATTTACTATCTGTGATAGGTAACTGATTAATATTCACACCATCTTTCCATCTGTAAAAAGGAGATGATAGCAGTACCTACCACTATGTGATTATTATGAGGATTATAAAAGTCTATAAAAGTCAAGTCTTGGGGCAGTTCCTGATGTGTAATAAAATGCTCAGTAAGTGTTAGTTTATTACATTTATCATCATCATTTTCCTTAGCTATACAGAAGGCAATTTGTGTGTCTATAACAAAAATGGACAAAGAATGCTTAAACCGAGGATGAGCACCAGAAAATAATTCACCAGAAGTACAGACACAATTAAAAAAAAAATTACAGAAATGACTACTGCTCGGCTTAGCACAATACTACTCGGCTTAGCACAATACTCTCATTCAACTTGGAATATGTTTTAAAAAGTAAATCACTAAAAAGAAAAATACTGTGGTCCAAGTATCCTTTTTTAAAAATAGGACAAAGCGTTTTAATACTATTAAGACTGAATCACACTCCTAAAAATTTTACTAAGTACTTTTTTTTTTAAGATTTATTTATTTATTTATTTATTTATTTATTTATTTATTTATTTATTTATTTATTTATTTATTTATACAAGCACTGGGTACCGTCAGAAGCACGGGAGGGTGAAAGGATTCACCAGAGCCATAGTGGGGAACAAAACAGGCAGACAGATGAAGTACACTGCTGGGGGAGTGGAGGGCACGGCAGGAGAGGTCTGTGCGCCATGTGGGACCCTCACCCGGTGGCCGGGGACCAAACCGTTGCTGCAGAGGCTGCGGGCAGCTTCGCAGCCCAGCACTCAACCACTGCACCACCAGGGGAGGCCCTTACTAAGTACTTTTAAGGTACTTCTATTTGTTTAGTGCACAATATATAATTGCTGATAGTATATAAAATAGAAAAATTTCAATTTCATATATGTCATGCTAGTAGCATAAAATCAAGTATGTCCAATGTGCAAATGAGTGTCATAAGAATTAGCACTATTAATGCTGATTTAGTATTTGTATTTGTAACAAATGAATTTCTAATTTTCAAGGTTATAAACGAAGAAAATTACCAACAAAAATTTCTTCTGACTTATATACCTGTACACACTTCTATTTTCATTGTAATTTTTTTATGTCTTTTGCTTTGAACTTACTCAAGTGGACACTATGTCATAAAAAAGGCGAATCAAGTACCTGTTAATTTAATGTACAATGATCATAAAATATTCAAACTCCCACTGTTTTGTGCAATATGTGTACTGTCATACCATGAATATTAATTTTAAAAGACATATTTTAAATAGATTTTTAAAAAGATTTATTTATGTACACAGGAACTGGAGTGTAGGCCAGAAATATGTGGGGGTGAAAGGATTCACCAGAGAGAGTGGGGATCAGAACAGGCAGCTCTACTGAAGTACAAGTGTTGTCTGATTTTTCCACTGTATATATTTTTACTACCTTTTCTTTTGTAATTAATAATTACTGAGGAGATACCTTAAACCTATCTAAATATCCTGTTCCATCAAACACTCCTTAGATTCAGCATTCACTGATGATTACTACCTGAATCAAAACTTTCCACAATACTTAGAAAATAATTATCTTTTTAATTTCATCATTTTCCTATATTCATGACAGTCAACTGTAACTGATTTCTCATTTGTCAGTATGTCTCTCTATATGGATTGCAATATGGATCTCTGAATTTTTATTTCATTCAGGAAGTTCAAATTCATTATTGTCCTTAATTGTTTTGATTATTACCTTTGGACCATTTCCTTACTTACTAGCACAAGATATTCAAGCTTAACCCTAGGTCCAGAATCAGCAATATCTTTGAAAAATGATGATCCTTTTGTCATTCTTTATTGAGTTGTTCACCTTATTTTGAGTTTTAACAACTCAATATATATATTTGTATATATAGTATTCTATATAATGTATATATTCTGATTATCAGTCCTTAGAAACTAGATATGAATTTTAGTGGTTTCATATACTTGAGCACCATTAGCACAACACAGTTTTAGAACAATTCCATCATCACAAAAGGTTCCCTTTTTATCTATTTGCAATCAAATTCTGATCTAATACCCAATATTTGACACCAGAATAATTACAGCTGTTGTAATGATGTATAGAGTTCACATATCCCCACTATAGCTTCAACTATTTGATCTACTTGTGCCAATTCATATGTATATCTATAGGTGTGTATGTGAATGTGTATGTATATACATATGTACAGATACCCCTCAGAGGTTCTCTTAGTTTTTGCAGAGCCAACAATGCATTAAAAAGTATGCTTTTTAATGGAGAATAGTGCCAGGAAAACTAGACAGCCACACACAAAAGAATGAAACTAGACCATTATTTTAAATCATCTACTAAAATCAATTCAAAATGGATTAAAGACATGAATCTAAAACCTTACACATAACTAAACATACACGATAAGCTCTTTGACATCGGCCTTACTAATAATGTCTTTGTGGATTCATTTCCAACAGCAAGAGAAATAGAGTCTATAAACAAGTGTGACTACATCAAACTAAAAAGCTTCACCGTAGCAAAAGAAACCATCATCAACACAAGAAGATAGCCTATTGAATAGAAGATATTTGCAAAACATTTATCAGACAAGGGATTAATACCCAATATATGTAAACAACTCATACAACTCAACAACAAAAAATACAACCAGATTTTAAAAATGTGCAAAGGATCTAAATAGACATTCCACTAAAGAAGATACATAGATGGCTGAAAAACACAAGAAAAGATGTTCAACCTGGATAATCATTAGGGAAATGCAAATCAAAATGACAATGAGGTTTTACCTCAAACCAGTTAGAATGACCATTTATCAAAAAGTCAAATAACGAATGTGGAGAGGAGTGGAGAAAAAGAAGCCTTCCTCCATTGTCAGTGGAATGTAAATTGGTGCAGCCAGTATGCAAGATGGTGTGTGGTTCCTCACAAAACTGAAAACAGAACTACCATGTGATCTACTGATCCCACTTCTGGGTACTGACCCAAAGAACATGAAGCCACTAACTCGAAAAGACAAATGTACCCTTATGCTCACTACAGCACAATTCACAAGATATGGAAACAACCCAAGTACCCAAAGACAGAAAAATGAGTAAAGAAATAAGTCAAAAGGAGAACAACCAATACTATGATTTCACACATTTGTGGAATATAAAGAGGAAGAAAACGAACAAACAAACAAAATAAAAACTCTTAGGTTCTGACAACAAAATAATGGTTAACAGAGGGGAAGGAGTGAGCAGGGTATAGCTTAGTGGTAGTTGGTGACAGGACATTTGGTAGTGGGTGTGGTATAAAATTACAGTTGCCAAGGTGAGAAACTGTATCCTAAAACCTATACAGTGTTTAAAATTAACATTTCTTAAAAAAAGAGAAAAAAATATGCTTTTCTTATTTACATTTTATTTGTACTGTAACAAGAGGGCCCTTAAGAATATCTAGCTCCAATACAAGTAAAACTGTAAATGTTGTCTTTATAGATAGGAGTCTTTACTAATAATATCTAACTTAGAAATTTAATAAGCTTATTGCTACTGATTTTTTACTCAAATCATTAATGTTATTATCAAATAATTTGCTATGTCTAAAAGGGCAAGAGAAAACATATTCTTCATAGTTAAAATTCTTATTAGTACTATAGCTGCTCAAAATGCTCAACACATTCCAAATTTACCCTAATACATCCTACACACATGATTACAAGATTCAGTTCAATGGTAAAAATTTCTGGCTTAGAAAATGAAAGTATCACATCTACACTCCCACATACAGTTAAACTCATTTAATTCTGCAGATGAGAATCTACAACCTGTTTTCCACTGTGTGAATTTTGCATAATTTGTCAACAATTTGCTACATTCAAACATTATGTTCTATATAGTATTGATGATTATATAATGATACTAGAACTCTTAATTGACTTTAAAAGATATCAAAATTCAGCTTTTAATGTCTAATTAACAGCCTAAAATTCTAATTTAAAATGAAATGATTCACCTTTTCATGTTCACTTAATATAATATAAAAAGAAAAAAGTATTTTCCACATTTAAATGTCATAAAAATCATATGATAGGTGTGAAATGTGTCTTCAATTATGGTATTAACTGAAAATAGGTTAATTTTACAAATTAGCAGAACACTTATTAAACAGAAGCAGAACTAGTTACCTTAATTAAGAAAAAGCCTTCAAAAGTCTCCATATTTAAACTATATTCTAAGATTTGTTACATCTAATACAATTGGTCCCATTTTACATTATACTGAACCAATTAATGCCCTCTTTAGACTTTGATGCATTCTTTATACTATGATGAACATTTACTGCAAAACCTTCTGATCTAAGTAAGAAAGCATTGCAGAAACCATAATGATGTGGGATTTATTTCTCCTCTTGAACATTTCTAAGATTAGATTTTGAATATTAAAATGTACATCTCTCTGTCATCTGGAATCAAATATCTTAGCAAAAACCAAAGCAGATTTGGCAGTATTAACTTCAAAAATAAAAGTTTTTTACGTAAATCCATTTTTTATTACCTAAGAATATAAATGATTTAGTAATTTTTATAAGGACAGAACTTAGCAATATCATTCTCACTTTTTTTATAGTTACCAAATTACCAAATGTCAGGTCATAAGCCCATGATTCTTTAAAGTATGATATACAATTGTGACATTCTTAGTCAATTCCTGATACTGGCTATTTAAGGATGCATGATTTCCTAAATTAAACATCTGAT